TGCTAACAAGCCTTTTGTTACGGTCTGCCTCTTTTTGACTATCTTCTATCCTAGACTCTATCCAAAAAATACTTGAAAAGCTGCTGACCGAGTGACAAGAATTTGTTGAGATTACTTAATTCTGAAGATTGTTCGACTGCTCTTTCCGCCATTATAAATTCTTCCTTGACGTGGTACACTGCGGATTAGTTCCCGTGTACGGCTCTCAATAAAACTCGGCATATTACTGATATAAATAAATTGATTAAACTCTATCCGAAGTTGTAAAAAGAATCTCAATGGACGGATTTGCCAAAAAGTAGGTCATTAGAGTTTTTCTCATCCTCGGATAGAGCTTTACCAATTGAGTGATACTTCCCTTGGGAGATCAGCAGATGAGCAGAGCGCTTACTATGTACATACTCCACCTTCCTATGGATATTTGAAAATTTTGTATAATAAGCAGTGAGTATTTCGTTTTCCACTTCATTGACCTATGCCAAAACCATAACATTCCACTTTTCATCAACTTGAGCGATGCTCTAGCTATTTCCGCCTTCTAAAAAGGTGGGTTAGAGGATGCATCTTGATCTCGATTATATAGCTAAGAGAGCTTTTGCGAATTAAACTCCTTTAAGGATTAGAAAATCGAAATTGTATCATTCGGTTCATTTTGTTGGTTTCAGGTCCGATGCATATAGAAGAATTGGTCTCTTATGGTTCTGTGGGTATATTCGCTTTGGGAACAACATTAAATATCGTCTTTATCTACATGATAAGACATGGAACAAGGAATGGTGTCAGTCATGTCTACAAAAATATAATGACATGTTTTGCAATTTGCAATATCGCTTTCTCAACGACAGGATTCATTGCAAAACCTGTGAGATATTTTTACAGCTTTCGTTAACGTTCCGTTCGAAGGATGCGGGTGTAGGGCTGAGGGCTTCCATAAGGTGCAGATGAGACGCTTTGAATAAGAGTGACAGAGTGACAAGTGGCATCTACCACACGAGCATCGTTCGGGAACGAATATCGGGTTAGTACTCACCTGGGGCAACTGAGCCTTTCGTTCTCCAGCGGTCGGCCAGTTGGTACCAGACTTTTTAGATCGGTAAAAGTGCCGACTTGTCCGGCCGACCGGGGCCCTCCAGCTGACAAAATACCTGCTATACTAAACATTCCTACAAAAGTTGCAAGCAGGATATCAGAGGCTGTACTCAATACACGTAATTGCTCGCTGCAGATTGACAATGAAATGGCTCTTGGAATATGTAGAGAAAGAGAATCGGCAATATTTGCCTGGAGTGCCTGCCTTCTTAGCTTGAGAAAGAACGATCAAAGGACAAAAGACTTCTGGTGCTGATCATTTCCCTTTGAGGGGTGCAACTCCGCATTCGGCTTCCGTTCAGAATCGTAGTGGCGTTCCGAATGTGTATTTAGCGTGTAGAGCCTACAGTGGGCAGCCGTTCTACAAGTCTGTTTAACCTCCTAGGTGAGTCTGGTGCCGAGTGGCCGCCCTCGGAGAGACGAAAGGATCAATTGGCCTGGATGAGTACCGACCCTCGATTAGTGCCAGGACGATGCGCGTGTGGTAGACACCACTTGTCACTCTGCTGCTGATAAGAAAACTATCAGAGAGAATTTTCTCAGTATTTGATTTTGTTTGCTTGATTCAGAGTAACCACATACATGGTACCGCTCAAATGACATTCTGCCAAGGGATTTTCCATCGAATGAAACCATGGGGTTTTCTATGGTTGTGTTTATTTATAGGAGTATATGGTCTCAATACAGCTCTTTTAGCACTTCATTTCGTTTACAGATACATTGTTGTGTGCAGGTCAGTACTTTGTCTAGATAATGTTATACCAAAAGTTTTGTAAAGGGGAAGAATGAGGTACGAAGCTCTACAATAAGAAGCCAAGAGGAAGAAAAAACCAGTTCTTATGCAATGCAATAAACTGTTGTTCCTTTAAGTTCATGAGTTTTTTCTTCAGACAGCAGTTCTCCCATATTTTTCACGAAACTTCCTCTGTCGTTATCGTGATTTTATCTGTACTTTTATGGGGTTTTATTTATTCCCTGATCACTTTCGTCTGTTTTGCTGCCGACGACGACTGCTACGAATATATCAACCCTAGTTTCGTTGAGAAATTTGGAGAAGATCTTCACAATCTGTCCTTCGTCTGTGTGTTCACCCACGTATGGTTTCAAAAGCAGTTCCAGAACAGCTTATCGTCGAAAGTTAAGAATTTTTTTTTCAGAAAGTGGAACCGAACAATACAACAATTTATTGGCTACCGACCATAGGCATGGGCCTGAACTTCCTTATGATGATAGTCACATTCGCTCTGATGTTTTTCTGTGGCTTCAAAATATATTTTGCCTTGGAGAAATCCTCGATGAGCAAAAAATCAAAAGTACTTCAAACTCAGCTTCTAAAAGCAGTGGCCATTCAGGTGTGTCAATTTTGAAGACCTTGCTTTGACAAGAGGATTTTGAAGTACATAGATTCTTTAGTAACATAGTTTAAGGCTATTATTCCATTCTTCACCACATATTTATCTCGAGCAGTTATGTATACTAATGTTATTGTGGGACTTCCACCATTATCGTAAGTAACACCAGTTGTATATGTGGCCTAATTGTTGCGTTAGATTGAAAAGCCTCTGACACATTTTTCATTATTTCATTTTCTCTTTTTGCCTGTGCCTATTCTTATTAACTGGAGTGTCACAAAGTTGGTGAGTCATGGGCAAAGCTTCGGCTTCGAGAAGACTCAAACCCATACTTTTTCTGCCGTCTGGATTACTGTAGTGAGTAATGAGATTTTTTACGGACGCCGGCCGTTCTCGGTTTGTACCGCAGTCCATCTACTGGGCAGTCATCGGTTCCCTTGTCTCAGACCTTATGAGGTTGGAATTCGAAAATGTCGGCGACCGACAAATTCGATAAAAGCTTTATTTCCTGCCAAGGAAGCCCCAAGCAGGCGGAGGAAGTGCCAATAGTACGGTTATGTCATAGCAATATGGGATAGGTATGGAATGCAGCCCTATATCGTGGATTTTCTAGTGAAGAATGAGGGACTGGCAGATAATGTTTTGGTGTGCTGCAGAAGCTTACTTGAGGCATCGGATCTTGATGTGTGTGGGATCATAGATGGTGACAATGGCCTTACGGTAACACCCACGCTTCGTCGTTACAGTATGCTTTCCATCTACACAGAGAAGCTGAACTCCAATTCTCATCTGAGGGAAGTACAACGGCGAGAACGGGCGTACCCTTGCACGACAGACGGATGTCCTGTACAAGGTTAAACG